GTCAATGCACCACACCTCATAACAAACCTCGAACGATATATCGGCACCAAAAACGTTCTATAAAATTGTTGACATGTGTTGTACATACATAAGTACACATCTATTTAATTATAGCACCGGCCGGAAATGAGGCTAAGTCAATTTGCCAAGCGCCATCAGCACAATTATTTTTTTCGTTTAGACGCAATAATACTTTGTGTAGGAATATAGCTTGTTAATTAATGTGGGTAAATACTTATGTGTATACATATGTATGTATGTAGATGCTTTTATGCAGATGCTCCCCCACGCAATATAAATTTCACCAAGCCAAATACTAGAGACTTCGGAAATTCGAGCAAATTTTTCAAAATAAATGTATTAACCTACATTTTTCCAGCTAAATTTTTGTACGAAATAGGAGCAGGAAATAATGTTACTCATACGCCATGGCCACACGCCTCCATTGCGTATTAGAAACGTTTTCCCTGTTAAAGTTAAATTTTATTTCTTTCGCAATGCCAAATTAAAATGAAAATATCTTGGGAAAATTACCTTAAATATAAAAACGGTAAACACATCCGTAATCTACGACCTAAAATGAAATTTACGTGTCATAGCGTTTTTTTGTGTCATTTTAGCATTAGAGCAGCTGCTTTGATTTTTTTATTTTCAAATTACTTATTCTCTTAATTGTCAAATATTGTTTACAAATTTTTCACCAAAATTCTAAATTCTCAAAAAGTACTGTAGCAATTGAAAACCAGCTTTTGGAACGTTCATCTAACTCAAGGTCTGCTTATTGGGCCTTGCAAATCATGGATGCCTTTGGATGTTATAAAATTTGCTATGGCAAAAAGTCGTACCAAAGTTTTTTTTTAAATTAAGTTTTTTATATTTTTGTCTGTACTTAGATCATCGTATAGCCTTCTAAAAACACTAATTCTCTCATTTCTATTAAAATTTTTGCCAAAAAGCTATAATTATCTGAACCAAAAACACCAATGCGCCAACCAAAAACACATCTACAGCCTTGCAGAAAAAATGGTAAGAAGAAAGTTACGTTCCTTATAGAACTGTGCGATGATTTAGATGCGCCGCTATGATATTTACAGACAAGAAGAATAATTTTTTGCTACTACTCTGTTTCATATGTCTTGCAATAGAACAAAAAACAGTGAGTGTAAAACTAGTACTGAAAAGTGTTTATTCTTCAATCAGAATCTGTGTAAATACACGCATACGATGTTCAAGACATGATTTTGAACATGAGATGATTAAACTATACACATGAAATGTTTAAAATTGCAAACATTTTGAAGGTAAAAATAAATTTTTTCACTAATAATAAACATAAAGTGCTCATATTTACTGAATTTTAAACATTTTGTGTGTAATTTTGCTCTACGCGACAAATTTGGTATGCAAAAGTAAACAGCCAGTGTTTAATTTCATTACATGGTGTGTAAATTTGCATACATTAGGAGAGAACACTGGTTACCTCTCTTAATATGGGTAAATTCAAACAAAAATGTGTTAGAGTAAAATTTAAACATTTATGCGCAAACTGTAAAATTGTGAACAATAAATGTTTAGAATTCAACAAACAAATGTGAAATTCGTTCTACGCCACACATATTATAACAAAAAGTAAACAAGCAATGTCTAAATTTGCATTCATTAAGAGAGGAAAGTGGTTACCTATCTTAATATACGCAAATAGTAAGTGTTTCCAGAGAGGTCATAAAGATGCCGATAAAATGTTAACAAGCCACAATAACATTGACAAATACATAGTTTAGGAAGAGCCTGCCTGAAACTATACAAAAAAGCAAATAAGCAAATGGATGTATAGAATTGACAACAACAACCACGCTGTCGAGTTTAAATAGCGGCAAATCAGCTGCACTTGATAGTAGTTGGTTGAATAAGGAAAATGAATTAGCAACAAGAGTTTACGGGATGTACATAGCTCAGTGGTTAACGCTTCTGACTTTGAACATCGAATTCGCAGGTTCGATCCCTGCTGAAGTCTAGAAAAAGAAGTCTGATGAGGAGATGTGGTGATCTCCGAAATAGCTGCTATAACTTGTACCGCTTAGACTTTGTTGCTTTTTCAATTTTTCCTAATAAACAATCGTGGTACAAAGCTCAATAAAAATATTAAAAATAAAATGCCGATAGCAAGTTAATTATGCACTAAATAAAGTTCTCGTCAATTTTTAAATCANTGCCACACATATGATAACTAAAAGTAAACAAGCAGTGTCTAAATTTGCATTCATTAAGAGAGGAAAGTTACCTATCTTACTACCTATCTTAATATGCGCAAATAGTAAATGTTTCCAGAGAGGGTCATAAAGACGCCAATAGCAAGTTAATTATGCACTAAATAAAGTTCTCGTCAATTTTTAAATCATTTTCGCATTCTTTGCTCTTTTGTAAATGATAAATTTTGTTCTGAACTCAGAGGTCTATTCTATTTACACTTTACTAATGATTTTGTAACCCAAAAAATGTATTATCAAAAAATGTTACCAATCCTTGTAAACATAGCCAGCAATGCAGTTATGCAGATTTGGGGAAATTCTGGTATTGCAGATTTCGCGGGACAACATTTTGTTGCCAGCTTATGGGATGATAACAAAGTTTACCGGTTACAGGAGTACACACAAAATAAATAAATATTAAATATTGACAGGAACTTTACATGTCAGTTACAAAATTTTTATTACCAGCGCTCAGTAGACCTGCAATAAACAGAGAACAAGATATTGCCCCGTGAAATATGCAAAAACAGAATTTCTCCAGGTTTTTATAGCTGTGTACTTAAGTAACTATGTGGTAGTGAAAACAAAACTCTTAATGGAAAAATGAAAGGCTTAGTATCTAAGAATTTTCCAGAAATAAATATTTATAAATCTAGATGTTTCTAGTTAAGCATTGCATAGTCATTTTAATATAATATCTAAAACAACAATTTAAATGTGACAATTGTTTCCTTTTAAATCTTTTATTTATATTTGGCATTCCAAACTACGTATGTATGTACATATGTATATGTATACGTATACTTAACACATTATATATTTGTGTATGTACAAGTATGTGTGTTACACTATGTCTCTGTTGGAACCTTACCTACATTGCGGCCGTATCCTTTAGTATTAAATACAACAATTGAGTTGGACGCAGTGGTGAATAGAAAATGCTAATTTAAATATTTTCCAATTCACTTCACAGCACATTTAAAGCTAATAAGTTAAAATAAGTGTACAACCTCCAAAGTAACAGCAAATAACACCGATAGGTAGTAGGGAAGATGTGTCGGCCCAAATGTTAATTTGAAATTTCAGGAATTCTTATAAATGGAAATAAATTAAAAGTAGGGTAAATAAATTCCTTTGTCCACCTCTTTGTTACACCAAGCAGTGTTTGACGTACCCAATGTTTAATTTAAACTTAATACGCACAGAAGTGTGTAATTTCATTCAATTTTAAAAGAAGAATGCCGATATAATAAAATAAAAAGTATGTACAGTGGTGAAAGAAATAATAGAAACCTTTTACTTTGACCAGTTTTGGCTATATTACTTTGTTTATTCGATGTTTAATGTTTTTGTATAAAAGTCTAGCGCAATATATAACACACACCATATAAATCCACATTTCAAAGTTTGTATGAAAATTATAAAAATTCAACAAATTTTATCAAAATCCCCCCAAAAATATAAAACTTTTCAATCAGATTTTTTTGAAAAATTTTTGGATGTAGTTTTATAGCCCATTAAATGTTAGTAGGTAAAACTGCAAACCGCAAGACGCTAGAAAATCGCGTTGATTTTTAATATTTTTTTTGCTGACGCTACCATATAAAAAGCATGGTCGAGCATACTTTATATGGAAGAAAATGCACAACACCGCCAGCCAAATAAATTATTACAAATCAACGCGATTTTCCAGCGTCTTGCGGTTTGCAGTTTTACCTACTAAAATTTAATGGGCTATAAAACTGCATACCCAAAATTTCTCAAAAAAATCTGATTGAAAAGTTTGAAATTTTTGGGGCATTTTGATACAAATTTTTTGAATTTTTATAATTTTTGTACAAACTTTGAAATGTGGATTTATATGGTGTGTGTTATATATTGCGCTAGACTTTTATACAAAAATATTAAACGTCGAATAAACGAAGTAATATAGCCAAAACTGGTCAAAGTAAAAAGTTTCTATTATTTCTTCCACCACTGTATGTATTTATGTGAATACTTTGTCGGCCACAGATATACCTACATACATACATACATATATATATTTGCAGCTACCCTACAAGGAAAAAACTTGTCTACGTTTGCTGCAGTGCGTTTTAAAGTACATTTTTTGTATCCGGAAAAGTACAGGAAAAGATTTCGATTTTCGTAAAATTTTTTATGCGGCCCGAAAATGTTCATGTTATTTGAAAACAAAATATGTGCCGAATCTTTATGCATTTATTTTTTCTTTGGCTTTCCGCAAATTCGAAAACGTATTTAAGAAGTTCGGAGCGAAAGCGTATTCGAATTGCTTCAGAAAAACATCAAGAAACGTATCCCTTTTATATCATTTTCGATAGAGTTCTAGAAACACGTTTCGGATACACACTTTAATAGGAAAACATATCCGAGAAACGACCGGAATTGGAATTGGAAAACGGATGAGATATCTGATTTTTATGCAGAATTTTTTCCATTTTCGGATACGATTACGGATGCTGATGGGTATGCACCAATGTACATGCATGTTTACACATGTGCATTTTTTAGACTTATGTATAACTTGAAGAACATATTAGCTGTTAGACAAAGTTTTGCACTTACTACTTTTGGTTTCAGTGTTCGGCGCAAAAAATTGTTTAAAGACATAATTTGGTTTTAAATCTATGCTTACACATACATACATATGCGGAATCAGAAATAACTGAAAAATCAGAGTGTGTATTTAATCATAGAAATCAAGTTTTTCTCTTTTATTTTTGCTTTCAGACCGAACAGTTTGCAGTTTTATGGATACTATTCGCAGTTATAGTACTTGGTAACTCTACGGTGCTTTTTGTAATGTTTGTAAATAAGAACCGGAAATCACGAATGAACTACTTTATCAAACAACTAGCAATCGCAGGTAAACGTTTAACTTTTAATTGCACTGTGGGGAAAATCTGAAGTTTTGAAATCACACGAAAAAAAAACTCTGAGAAACCTAAGCTTAATTTTGGGTCGTAGATTATGGATCTGTATACCGTTTTTCTAGATCATTTTATTTTAACGAAAAAATATTTTTAATTTTTTTAAAAGCCGATGCATAAATAAATAAGTTTTAAGTGGCTAAATGAAAATGTGCAACAATTTGTTTTATGAAATATGAATAGCAGGAAATAATATTACTCATACGCCATATCGTACATGACCGTTATCGTAATACTCGTACATAGCGAATGAGTAACATTTTCCAGGTAAAAGTTTGATTTATTTTCTTTCGCAATACAAACATAGAATTAAAATATCTTGGGAAAATGATCTGAACTAGACAAACGTATACAAATACACACGTACTCTACGACCCAAAATTAAGGACCTTATTCTGTATCACGAACGATAGGCAGAACGAACGAGTCGTCTGCAGACGACAACATCTCTAATTGAGATTTTAAACTCTATCGGTCGTCTTCGTCTTGCTTTTCATATATTACGTTGCAATGGTCTCGGTTGCGTTCAAACGGGCTAAAATGATGCCGCCGGACTAATTTTTGAAGCATTCCTCTGCAGACGAATCGTTCGTGTTGCCTATCGTTCGTGATACAGAATTAGGCTGTAAGTTTACGTGTCTCGGCGTTTTTTCGTGTGTTATTTTAGTGCCCCCCAAACAGTGTTATTGAGTATATATCCACATTCGTCGTTATCAATGCGAAATGCCCTCAATTATTTTTTTATTTGGAAATACATATCGTCGCTAGACCCGCCGCATTACCTCATATCGACCTAATTCAATATCAAAATTTTATGTTGGTTTCTTTGCCTCAATGGAGGGCAAGCCTAGTCAAAAACGTTTTTAAATTAAAGCTTTCATTTGACACTCATATTAAAATATTTCATATAACTTGTCTGTAAATGAACTAAATTGAACAGCTGATTAATTCAGTTAAATCTACTTTTGGAATGGGTGGCAATTTTCCTACATAAAATTTAGCAATAAAGCCTTTTTAAAGCCATGTCGATTGATAGTAACTTTGGTAATTCATTTAACTTATTAAATAATTTAATTTTTACTATTTAAATAGGTGGAAACCCTCTTGAAACATCAAAAAGTTTTTCTAAATATTCATACTTATAGTTTAGTTAGTGTAGACTTAACATAACTTACGTAAGAAATCGTCAATGGTTACTCAACACATCAACTTAGCCTGAAGCGAAGATATACTGTATTTTTCCTCTTCAGCCTATAAGTCACACCAAAACTGAGCCTTTAAGATTTGATAGCACTCTTTCGTAACGTGTGTATAATTTAATTAGACTTTTAAAATTTTTTACAAACAAAAACCTCTTTCATCTGACACCCATATTGTGATACAATTTTTCAATTGCAAAATCATTTAAGAAATCTAGCTAAAAAGCTCTAAACTTTTACGAAAGTTTGTTATTTTTTATTTATTTATTGCTGGCAATATCGCTATCGTATCGATTTCTTATTACCGGTCGCTCTAAAACGTCCGCCGAAGGCAACTCGCTTGGGCGAGTCGTTTTCTTATTACCTGAATGAGTCGTTATCTCTTCATGCGATATTTGGAATAATTTTATTCTCTTTAATACATCATTTATTTGTTGTATACAAAATTGGAACTTAGAAACGAAATTAATTCTTTCTTTGGCTATGGAGCATCCTATTTTTTCAATCCTGTCTTTGGTATAAATTATACGCTTTGGATAATACTGTTATCGCGAAATTTATAAGTTCGGGAATTTTTGATGATTTATTTATTCCAAAATTGACATGACACGGCAATAAATCGCTGAGCCACCAATTGTTGCCTATTTCTCATGATTTGCATGGTTAGAGCTATTACAAATGCTTTGGTATTGATTGATATTTTAACCTCTTTTAATGGATGCAATTGATCTTATTCCCATCACTTTTTGAGTGTCGCACTGTGTAATTTTGACTCGGTGGTATATACACACATAAGTATGTGAATGTAGATACTAGTAGGTACTCATAATTAGTAAGTTCAGTTGGAAAAGCATTCAATAAATAGTTTTGAAAAAAGTAGTTTTTTGGCTCAGTTGAGAAAATTTCTGAATAAAGTACGTTATAAGTATATTCATACGTGGTATCGCATTCGACGGATACGTGCCATGCGACGATACTATAGGAGTATTCGGGTATTCTTCCAGCAGAAACCTACATAAATCAAGGAGAGAAATGCTTGCAAAAGTACGCGAACGCCAAACTAAAGTGTGAATTACAATTTATTATATTATTCAGCAAAAAATGGATCAACAACCCCATTCAATATTTTATTTTCGCATCCAGCACTAAAATTTAATTCTATGACTTGCGTAAATTACAACCACCTTTTTTCATCAGCTGCCAAAAATTTGTCCAGCAGAAACTAGGGATTTCTTATCGAAATGAAATGTCACTGAGAATAAACCTATTTTCTGAAACTATCCACATACTTACCTTGAAAAAGTCATTGCATCACGGGTTTCGCTGCTCCTACAAAATTTCAAATTTGTCATTTAGGGCTTGTTGCCATTAATATATACAAACATAACTGTACCGTTCAATTAAAGTAGCCTAAGTCGCGATAGGCCCTTCTCTTTTTAAGGTAACATTTCATTAGGTTCCCAAAGAATATTTTAACGTTTAGCTAGCCACAGGTGTAGTTAAGGATGCCCTTTTAATAGAAGATTAATAAAAATATAAAAATTTTCAAGGGAAACTGATTATTTTTAAATTCAAAATCAAACCTTCTAAAGTCACTTTTTTAATTGAACGGCACAGATATGTACATATGTACTAACATATTTGTGCTCCTGTTTCAACCAAAACAAGATCTCTCTGTTGGCCTGCTGCACGTACTGACCGACATCATCTGGCGCATAACGATCTCTTGGCGAGCGGGCAATATGGCCTGCAAGCTCATTCGCTTCTCCCAGGTATGCGTTACATACTCGTCCACATATGTGCTGGTTGCAATGAGTATCGACCGGTACGATGCCATCACACATCCAATGAACTTCTCTAAATCATGTGAGCATGACGATTCGACTAAACCGTTGGGAAACCATTTGACATCCCAACCTTTACGTTTTTTAAGGGCGAAGAGCGAGGCATCTTGTAGCGGCAGCGTGGACGGTTTCGGCTCTCTTTTCCTTACCCATTTTGATACTGTACGAAGAGAAACTTATACAGGGTCAAATGCAGTGTTGGATAGAATTGGGATCGCCGCAAGCATGGCAAGTTTACATGTGTCTAGTGTCTGCGTCGCTATTCGTCGTCCCAGCTATGATCATTACCGCCTGCTACGCGATTATAGTGAAAACCATCTGGGCAAAAGGATCCAATTTTATTCCTGCAGGTGAATATGCCAAATTTATTGCTTTTGTTATTTGTCTTCTCATTTTTTAAAGCAAATGTATACAATGTTTCCAGAACGAATCGGCTACAATAACGCAGCAACGAGAAGAGCAAGCTCACGCGGAATAATACCTCGGGCCAAAGTAAAAACTGTCAAAATGACTTTTGTGATTGTAATTGTATTTATAGTGTGTTGGTCGCCGTACATTATTTTCGACTTGTTGCAAGTATTTGGATACATTCCACAAACTCAAGCCAACATTGCTATAGCAACATTTATACAGAGTCTGGCGCCGTTAAACTCTGCAGCTAACCCACTCATTTATTGCCTCTTTTCTTCGCAGGTATTTCGAACGCTCAGGTTAGTGCTAAACACCGGCATGCATATGTGTGCGTTTGACATTTTACACGTAGAAGTAGAAATAAATACATTCTTGCGCTATTACATATTTGTTACCATGTATGTATGTATGTAATTAAGTATATACTCAATTCATTAGTCAAACGCAGGCATATCCGAACGAATGATTTTTAAGTAATATACTATTAACATGTTATCGTCGCCTGGGCAAAAGATGTTGTTATGTTAATTTTGACAGGTTTTGGGAAATCGAATTTGGAAAGCAATTTCTCAAAAACGCGAAGATAGATTTTCTCCAACAGCTCGGAGAATGTTGCTAGTTCACAAGATTCTTAAATTATTTCATTTTTATGGTTTATTGCTTTGAGTTTATGAAAGATTCTATTTAGGGCGTGTGTGAATCAGTAACAAAGTTTGCGGCAAGTAAATTTTTGACAACTATGAGGTGAATAAAATTTCAGTAGCTCATGAGTCTAGCGAAATTTTTGACAAATGCATAGAAAATTTTGACAATCGGAAAGATTGTTGCTGTGTTAATTTTTCGAAAAACAAAAGCTTAAATTGATGAAATGCAATCAGTGATTGTAGATGTTTTCTTAAAATATTAATTTCACTTCAATTTGTAATAGTTTATTCCGAATAAATCTGCGGTTATCAAAAATTTACTGCTGTCAAAAAAGATTTAATTTCACACAGCAGATTGTCAAAACTGTCTCACCATAGTAAAAATATTATTCAACAGCTTTCCCCATAGAACTTTGTTACCGATTCACACACGCCCTTGGTATGAAATACGAAAAATTGTGATCAAAATCTGTACTGAATTAACGATACTTCTTACTCAATATCTTTGAAACTAAAGGAGATATCCAATTAAAGATCTTGATTGACCGCATTATTAACTAAATTTTTACTAAATTACCGAAAAAATTTTAGTCAATATCTCGGAAACAAAAGGATATATCCAAAATCTGATAACACCAATCGAAAGATATTATTTTAAAATATATAACTGCATCTAAATATAACTAAAAATCGTCAAAATGGCGCTTACGACAATCTTTTACCCCGGGCGACGATATGTATGTACATACATATTTATATCTAAAATGCGTTCCATCGTTTTCACAGTCGGTTTGCTCCTTTTAAATGGTTTTCATGCTGTTGCCGCTCTTATCTGAATAATTCTTCACAAAATCGCTGCAGCACAGTCAGTCGGCATCTTCATTACAGCTGTGATTCAATGCGCACTTTAACCACTTCGCTGACCGTATCACGTCGATCTAATAAAACGGCCGCCCGTGTTGTTATATGCGAAAGATCAAAAAATCCGTTAGCTGCATCGGAAGTTTAACAGCTCCACTATAGGAAAACTTGTACAATGTACATATACATATACACCTAAGCAAATGATAGTCATCTGAAATATTTACTAACCTTGGTATTTATGTACATATCGATGGCTGAGTGGAAGAACGCCCTATATCAGCATATTTTCAATACATTTTGAAGTAAGATAGAGCGTTTTTGAGCCGAATTTTGCGATAGGGTGTTTTTCACTTAAATTCTGAAATAGGGCGTTCTTGAAAAGTTTTCTGAGATAGGGCGTTTTCGAACTGGCTGCCGAGTTAAGTCGATCTTCCACTCAGCCATCGATATGTACTTACATTTGAATAAAACCTNGTAGGTCGATCTTCCACTCAGCCATCGATATGTACTTACATTTGAATAAAACCTTTTATACTATAACAGTTTCTTGCATGTGGCCTGCCGACCACTGAATTAGAACGTACCACCTTACAGGCAAACAAAAAAAATCTTGCTATACACCCCTGCATCTAAAGTTGTATGTATGTATGTATGTATGTTTGTATATTTACAGCGGTACCTAAGTACCAGAATTACGGTTACGATAAGCAGTAAATAATTTTAGTAAAAAAAATTTTCGTTTACGGCCTTTAAATATGGTGGCTTTTTTAGTACCTACCACTAACCTGGACATGAGGTCTTTTCTGGGGTCGAGACCCAAAAAGCTTCGCCAGTTCCCTCTCTCATTTGCAGTTTTTCGCCGGTTGTTCATCCCAAGTGCGGACTGGTTCTTCCGCACTTGGTCCTTCCATTGTATTCGCGGGCGGCCTTGCATCCGACGGACATGGGGTCACACAGACTCCTAACTCTGCGAGAACACAGACATTTTTAGAACCGTTTTCTTGACTTCCTCTTACATTCAATTTGACGTTAAAGACATTGACTGCTTTCTCGATTACATAAATTTAACAGACAGTCGATAAGGTGAAATATGTGAATGTAAAGGGAAGATAGCTTAAATAAGCCGACAGCCGAGAAAACGGCTTCTAGAATGAAGGAGATAATTAAGTTTAATTTTAAGGAACCAAACTACTATCAAAATTAGCACTCAAAGAATTTTCGGCCTTCTTCGACATAAGCTCAAAAAGTTTCTAGTTAAGGAAAGAGAACCGAAATTCCTTGTGTGCATATGCATGAAACTGTTATCGTATGAAGGCAAAGTTTTATTAGACTATGCATAATGTGTGTATGTGTGTATGTGTATACATATGTAATGCAATTAGTAATCAAACGCTACCAACACCATAAGAGCCGTTTGTTCAATGTCAATGTTTATCACTACCGGAGCATACATATGACGAGTGATACAGAAAGCATTCGTTGTATTTAACCACAGCTTTTGCCTCCGGTTTGTGTTAACCGGACATTGAAAAAAGCAGCTAAGTGATCACTATACACATATACACTTTTTTATGATGTACATATGTATGTAGGTAGCTTTGTAACATTTTCGTACATTTTTATAAAATATTTTACGTACATACATACATATAAGATGTATCTACATATGTATGTATATATGGGGCTACGACTTTTTAAATTTTTAACAACCCTATGGTGCTAAAAGGTAACCTGTGGGATGTTTTTTTAGCGACATTAAAAAAAAACCCACGCGTTTGATGACATTGCATGAATAGAGAAGACAAATACCGTTTTTGTTTAAATCAGCCAAAAAGCCCCAACAGTTTATTCTAGACTAGTTTTAGCTTGTTGATTGCGAAGTAACTGTTAATTTTCCATTGGCCGTTACAAAAATATTAGTTTTTAATATGCTGTGCACTTGTTATTAATAATGTAAAGAAATATAGCCTGTACTTAAATATAATCGTTCGTAAGAGCAAGCATTTGTAAAATTAAAATTTGAATTAAAAATTAGATTACAAAAGTATTCCGGTTATACACAAATCTGGTTTGAACTAATATAGCGAGGAACGAAGTTGTCGTTACAATGAAATTAAAATGTTGAAGAAGGTAAGTTAGTACATACATACATATATACTATATGTATGTACATATGTATACAGGTATATAAGGTATTTTCAATTTCATCCTGAATTTTGACACTTCTATTGAAAAGTTTGGACAAATTGTTTTTCGTGATTGAGATAAAGAAAAATATTTGTGCATTCACACACAAATGACCATCGGGTGTGACACTGCCTTAAAAATTTCACAAAGTGGCATTTTCGTAAACATTTTCGATTTACGGGTCTATTCTGCGCTGGTAATAAATATTTTATAACCGGTAACTAAATAAAACGAGAATATATTTGTATACCCGAGCGCACTTGTGCACAAGGGTATTATAACTTTGTTCACAGAACGGTTGTATGTAACAGGCAAAACCAATCGAGATATGTAGATACAGACCACCGTACATACAGTAATAAACCTTTTTGGTTACTCCTCGGGGGTATAATCTGATCAGGGTTGATAATGGGAAGGAGCATGAATTTTGCCGATTCAGAGTTGCATACAAATTTACTGTGGTATGAAAGGGAGCAACAACCGTACTATGGCAGAGTAGCCCAGGTAATTTTGTAAACAAACACTTTTCTTATAATTTTAAGAGATAATTGCTATTTTGTTTTTGCAATATTCCGATATCCAGCGTGTAGCCAGAGGCAGTGGCATGTGAGCCTCACTAAAATCTACTCATCATGTTGGAGCAGCTCCGGGTAATGGACCATTTAATGTGCTGGCTGAACTCATGACCACCACAACCTTCGGAGTCTCTAAGAAAATGCGTGTCCATGCGTGTTTATACGGTAGTAACTCATAGCAATTACCATCGTATATGTATGTGATTCATAGTTATGACATTCTATACTTTGATGTTGAGTATCTTTGAGGAGCTCCGGGTAATGGTCGCTCAAATGAAAATATAGTCGGAAATTTAGAATTTTCCATGATAAATTCACAAAATTCACGTTTTTCATAAAAATATAATCTTGCAATGGATATTTTATTGATTGTAAACTTACATTTAAGAAAACTTCATTCAGTGCTATAATAACGATTTGAGTTTTCAGTTTAAAGAAACACAGGCAATAATTATGTACTTTACTATTGACATTATTCTTAATTAAGCATTGATATTATATTTAACCTACTTTACTATTGACATTATTCTTAATTAAGCATTGATATTATATTTAACCGACATTTTGTTCATAAATAACACAATTATATATTTTATCCTCGAAAAGAACCTTTTCTAATCATGAGGCGAAATGCCCCACAGTAAGTATTGCCGTGCTCGCAAAACGAAAACGCTGCACACAACCCAAAAGTACTCCCCGGGAACAATTGGTGAAAAACTGCGAAAAGGTTTATTACTGTATATACTGTGATATAGACAAAACAGCTCAAATCCGCCATTTAATTTAAAAAAATCCTCAGGGAATTTTTATTCTTGATAGAAGGAAAGGGAAAAGAGAGAAAACTCCAAGGGAGTTTCTGTACAGAATCGGCCTTTATATTTAATTCTCCGAAATAAAGAGGGTGTATAACATTTTTATTTTTGAATAGCAGAGGATCAATTTTAAAAGTTACTGTAACGCCGTCATGTAGGCGTGTTTACACATCAAAATCAGCATTTAGTAGACACCCACTCACAGCTTGATTTCTAAAAAAAAAATTGTATGCGAAATTCTGTCGTCCGGATGGGTCAACCATCAGCATCTTAAATAAGTTGTTCTATGCATTCACCAATCGAAAATTAAGTCTAAATTTATTCAACACAGANGGTAGACACCCACTCACAGCTTGATTTCTAAAAAAAAATGTATGAGAAATTCTGTCGTCCGGATGGGTCACCCATCAGCATCTTAAATAAGTTATTCTATGCATTCACCAATCGAAAATTAAGTCTAAATTTATTCAACACAGAAGAACCGACAACTTATAATTCTTTTGATTACTATTTTGTAGTTTGATAGTCTATATTCGAAAATTGCAAACATCGTTGAAATTTTAAGGTTCAAATACAATTTTTCTTTGAATCCACTGCTTTGAAAATGCGCACACCTTTTCTCCGACGAGCTTCTCAAGAAGCCAACTGTAGAAAAGATCTGGGCATTACCGCAGCCACAATTTTATCTAGGAGTATATACGTAAAATGCTTTTTACAATAAAACAAATATTGGCTTCGCCCCTTCTCATGCAACGTTGTTCACAAAGATTGGCGAAGTGCTTCTTTACCACTATTATGGTTGCATCTTCAACATGGCTGCATTGCTTGGCCCTGTTTTAACAGTAAAGTATCGACCGCCCTCCATTCGATTTGCGTACCGCTCTGTTTGGCAATTACCTGCAATCCTTGGCAGCTCAGAATTTCGATGACCATTGGAATTCCCTAACTGCTTTGAGTCCGAATACTCGCTTATCCTTCCGATATTTTCGCGAATTTCTTCGTTGCCTTTATTGGTATTGCTGTGTGGTATTTCGCACGATTTAAATTTGGCATGTGGTAGTGAGTTTGTGCTGCTTGTAAGAGGTGAATCAGTTTTCGGTTCAGTGTCGGAATCGCGATGGAGCCCGGAATTTTGTTCTCCCTTGTATACATTCTGGTCCCCATTACGATTGCTGTTGGAACTCAGACTCCCGGAAAGAGGACGGCCCTTTGTCAACACTTGTTCTCCAGCCAACGACACAAACTCTTCTTCGGCACTACCACAATTCTGGCAATTGCATCTCTGGTTTTGTGCTCGCTCCTCGCTGGTTTCCTTCTGCGTTTCGGCAATGAACTGGCACAAAAATTTCAAATGTCGCATACTTTTTTCGTTTTGCTGGGAAAATTCTGTTAGGGAATGAAGGTGAATGGTAAGGTCTATGAACGGGAGCTAACGCCAATGCTCACTGTCTAAAATATCCAAATACATTTTGCTAAGCAGACATTCATTTCTCATCATCTGCGAACACAGTGTTTCCATTTTTTCCATCGTATGCACAAAATAATTGCGCAACATACATTCGACGGAACTCTGCAATATAAAGAAAACACTGGTCAGACCATTGCAAGTCCATTTTAAGCCCTCTCTTACCTGCACGGTCTCTAAAACAGTATCATGCACAATAGTTAGAAAGTCAGCACACGAATTTTGAATCTTTTTGCTGCTAAATTGTCCGTCGTCATCGGAATCGTGCTCTGCTTCCTCGCTGATCACTTCCATATGCTTCTTTAAATTTTGGTATTGAAAGTTTTGTTTATTTTTCGTCTGCTTGGGATCGCTCTGGCATTTAGGTTTACTTCTAGGGTCTATGCTGGGCCCACCATCAGCTGCTGGAAGGTTTATTCGTTGTCCATTTTTAACTTGCGAAGCGCGTTTTCCATTTAATTTAGGCATCGAAGGTTTGTTGGAAAGTGGTCTCGACTTAGTTTTCTTAGCGGGTATTTGCATATCCGGACTAAGCCGCGTGGGAAAACAATCGCTGCAGGATCGATTTCGCCGAACGCTGGAGCAATCGGCCATGTAATTATAACAAGGACAACAAGACGAACAGCAGCAACATTCCGATTGACGCGGAAAGCAACTCATTATGCACTCAAATTTTGACGTTTATATTTTATTTGGATTAGACGGCTTGCAATTTGGTTAGTTGGTGGAGGAACGTGTATCCGGATTGAGGGGGATTCGAAAACAAAGTTTGTTATGTGTGAATATTTATAATGTTTCAAAGCTGATTTAGACATTTTATATTGAAAGCAAACATCGATTGTTGATAAAACAGAAAATACTTTCATAGCAAAGTATGGCAATTATCTCTTAGACAATCCAAAGGAATCATCATTCCTAGTATGTACGTATGGGCATAGTATAATATCCACAAGTGCCGTTTTAACAGTTGGAAGTTACCAACATAACGTCACTACACACGAATAAAGGCGCGCTAGTGTTTTGACGGCGAAAAGAGCCGCGTAAAAAAATTTTGCGAAAAAAATGCTTATGAAAAACTTCGGCGAAGTATGTGAAGAGTCTTTGACGCTGAAGTTTTTTTATGTGTCTAGTGACGATATGTATTGTTACGATTATCCTTGAAACCTCGTCCGGATTTCCCAAATCCTCCGGTTCGTATCGCTGGATTGTTAAATAAATGCTAACGATGACCAAATTGTAGTACAATTAACTTTATTGTACAACAAACAATTTACAATATTTGCTAATACAGTAAAAACACTTTACAATACTTGTTAAAGCAATAACAACGCTTTACTACTTGTTAACACAATTAAACTTATAGCTTGCTTATTCGCAACTCAATTCTCCGCTCAGTTTACTTGTAGCTTGCTGACTTGTAACTAACTCACCTCGCGGTGGCGGCGCCCTTATATACCTGCGCTGGCACTTATGGCAACTCTAGAACATTCTGAAGTTTATCGCTCATTCTCTTTCTCTCGCTGTTCGCAGTGTTCATCCAACTTGACGTTTCTCTTTGGGGAACATTCTACGTCATTCTTCGAACATTCTGCCTATTTCTCGTTGTTCGCTTTGTGTTGCCGCAGTATTCGCCACAGTATTATAGTTAACGAAAACTAAAAGTGCGCAGTCCCGGTCTATTTCCGGTGGCAGTTTTGAAGCTAGTTCAATTTACAAACAAAAAATACCAAAATAATCATATTGGTACTATTTTTTGCGATATGAAAAAATGGGGTGGCAAATAACAAAGTTACATATGGGTATATTCCTAGAACTTTTGAATTTGGTAATTGTGCACAATTTCGTAGATATAAGGTCAAAATCGCCATTCCCCCTAATATGAATTTCCACACGATAGACGATAAACGCTTGCATGCGAATTCTATGTAATCAGTTTTCGTATTATTTTCTTCAAACGCTCGGCAAATGTGTTTTTGTGTGTGTATATTTTTGTTCACTTTGCTCAAGAAATAATAGAACGGCCCAAGGCATATCAAATAGGTAGTAGCATTACAGCAAAAACAAAATTTTCGTGAATTTTTTTGTTGTTTCTGGTATCGGAAGTGTCAAAAACTGTTCTGACTTTTCTCTTATAAATCAAAGCGTTCCATGTGATGTCAAAAAAGTAAAAAATTAAATTGGAAAAAATTAAAATTGTTACAACTTTCTTTCGTAGTAAATTTGTTTGCTTCTCGAAGCATTGATCCATCCTTTCCAAGGCCCAGGAATCAGCGGTCGTGCTGCTGAGCTGGGCGAACGTTCCAAAAGCTGCTATTCAATCGCTTGTTTTGTATGGAAAAAGGTTTCACATGCAAATAGATTTTAATAATTTGGAATTTTTGTGAAAATAAATTAAATATATTAGACATTTTCGAGACGCAATAATCCGAGAAAAAATCAAATCAGCTGTTACACTGATACTACCTGTTCAATGTGCACCAATTGTTATTTTGTAATCAAAAAAAAAGTTTAGAGAGTGCTCAAAGCGTTCAAAGTTTTCTATGTATTTTATATGGGAAAAGCCAACTTTTCGTAGAAATGGTAAAGAATTCTTGAAATCAATATTTTTCGATCGGACGACTCTGTTTCTCTCCGGGAGGTTCCCAGTAATTATACAAAATTTTTTATTTAACCATTTTTTTATGGTAACTATGTTTTATAGGTCCGTCAAAGCCACCAGAAAATGCCAGAAAATTTAATGGGGTCATAAATAAAAAATCTTTAGTATTAAAAAAGGGTTAAATAAACAATTGAATATTGCTATTATCTGCTGAAGAGAGCCATTGCTTTTCGATAAAAAAATATTGATTTCCAAGTATTCTATGCCATTTCTACGAAAATTTGGTTTTTTTCATATGAAATGCATGGAAAACTATAAGCGCTTTGAGCACTCTTTAAATGTTTTTTGAGTTCAAATTAAAAAAGTAATATTTAAGCAAACAAGTAATTTCTAAACAAAAAACAAAACAGACTTCACTTTTCATATAAAAATATGACGTGATCCAAAGTTATGCGGTAACATACATAAAAAAAAAACAGAAAAAAAATATTCCGATAAACTGATAACCTCCTTCATTTTTTGGAAGTCGGTTGAAAAGGGGTATATTTTTAAGATTATAAAACAATTCAATGGCAATGCAAAATGAGCGATGAATTAGTCTGATAGGCGGTTCAAATGTCGATATGATTGAGAAACCCAAATTTATGGTTCATATTTGGCATGTGTATTAGTTATATGAAAAAAAAGGTTCACAAAAAAATTGTAGGTAGGTGGCGCGGAGGTTGAAATATGTCGATAAACTGCATCTATGGTCCGACTTAGTTTATAATTTTAATATACATATCGTCGTTTAAAGTACAAAACCGCGTATCGTCATTCTGCAAAACCGCGTAACTGACATTGGCTGCCAAAAATTGGATCTGCTCACACAAGCCCTTGACTCAATCCTTATCAATTCGTCCTGAAATATACTACCCAGAAATGCGATTGCTTTATAAAAAAGAAAACCATTTAGAAATATGAGTGGTTTTACGCTCTAGAAAATAATTTCTATAACTTCACATACGCGGTTTTGCATTTTGTTGCTACGCGGTTTTGCACTTTAAACGACGATATGCATATTAATTATAGGAAAAGCAATAACTCCACAAACACTTTTGCCGATAGGTGGCGCAGGAGTCGGGATACTTGGAAACCCATATTATTGGCCCAATTCGGTTCATATATCGAATGTGTATTAAATGAAAGGAAATAACTTCACACAAAAATTCGGCGCTTTCTTTTATTCACAACTAATTAAAGTGTTTTTACAAAATTATTTTTTTCTAATGACCTTTTTTTTCTGGCATTTTTTTTTTACCTGAGTTTTCTTGTTCGCGCTCCATCGTACTTTTATCGTTAAAAAAATCCTCAAGGCTAACACTAAAGTACTCCTTATTCTGTCGTACTGGTAAGAAGCGACGCATAAAAGGGGACACTAAAGCTGGATCCAGTTCCCTTAAATCTGTAGTTCCAAATATTCGCGTAGCAATAGCAGCGACGGCAACGGAGATGATTGCACCAAAGGCGGAATACCACAGGAAGGAAAGGTGATATAAATTGCGTTGGTCCGAAGTTGTTGGTCTAAAAATTTTAATTAAAATTTATAATAATTTAAATACTTGTTTGAAAAAACAAATACGACTCACTTGTAATCATGGATGATGTGCCAAGCCGTTTCATTATCGAATTCATAGTCACAACCGTCTATGGATACAGGCATTTTCGGATAAGCAATTTCTCCTTTCACTTGGGCGATCTGCGCATTAGTACATATCCAACTGAGAACCAAAAACCCTGCCAGGCATCCTGCCAACGCGCTCTTTCCATTGATCCATGGCAGTACAACACCCATTGTGTACACAGCTAAAAGTGGCCCCATTGTGACTGCACCCGTCATTGTGGCCAGCTGCAATACCATTCCTAACTTTTCAACGACGTATACTAATCCTATGCAAGCAACCCCAAACACAAACACTATCAGTCGCAGCAGTACTGCTGTCTGACGTTCATTGAGTGGGGTCTTCAGAGACGAGGCAACGACATCTTGAGAAATAACGCAGGCTAACGAGTTCAAACCTGTAGATAAGGAGCTCAAAGCCGCACTGAAGACCCCCGAAACAAAAAGTCCCGGTAATCCTGGTACATCGCCCACAGTCTTCATTACCAATAATGTAGGGAGTTGATCACTAGCTGATGCAAGCTGCAATTCAACGACACTGTTAAACACACAACTTTACAAAAAAAAGTATGCGTATGTATGAACTAACCTTTGTGCTAAGTGGATCACAATCGTAGTAGCTGGCATAGGCTAGTAGCCCCATGTAACAGCAACACAACATTAAAAAAATTAACAAGAAATTGAACAAAATTACAGTCTGCTTAGCCTTTTTGAAAGAAGGCAATGATAGATAGCGTTGAATACAGATCTGGTTTACGGCAGAGGATTGGATCTTATGAAGGGAGCCACCAACAAATACAGCTAACATTGACAAACGCACTGTCGGATCCCAGGTCCAGCTGATTCATGATAGAGCAGTATTTAATTTACATATATAAAACCTTTCAGTAATTTACCACTTACTCGGGTGTATTAAGTCGACCACTTTCGCTATTGCGCTTCCAAACCACATCTAAGCCACCTACATCGATTGTTCCTTTTATACAGATGGCCAATATTGAGCCATACATTATAAAGCTCTGTACTACATCTGTCCAGATTACAGCTTTCAAACCACCCTTAACAAAAAATTAAATAAAAAATAATAAATAAATTATGAGTGAAATCAAATGAGCCCCACTGTCAGCCATCAACTTACCACGCAAGTATAAAAGGTGCATATAAGACACACTACCGGTGTTATGATGTGTATATCGATTCCAGATACTAAAATGGCAAACAAGTAAAGCAGTCAAAATTATTCATTATCACGAATTCCATGTAGAGGACTAATTAACCTCACCTTGATTGAATGTCAAAGCTGGCACATATACTGCAACAGGTAACCAGAGAACCTTCAATTTAAGAAATTTATCACTAATTAGGCGCACTATTTAAAATGGAAAACAAATAGCTGACCAACTCACCATTCCAACAATGAATAGGACAGACCCGAAATAGCGTACCCCGCGACCAAATCGCATTTCAAAGTACTAATAGATAGATAAATAATATTAGGCTAGTATCGAAAGTATGTGAGTATAGATTTAAAAGTTTAAAATTTTTAAAAACACAATGATGTATGTAAGTATGTATATAAGTATTTAAGAAATACACTTCTTAGGAACAAGTTCCCAAAGGATTTTTGTGTCAATCAAGATGTGTACCAATATGTACATATACATGTATGTATGTATACTTACAAATAGCCAGGTATTTATGAAAAATTAATAACACTTTTTCTAAGAACAATTAGTGTATACTATATTTCTTAATCCTACTTTCAATACAACACAGAAATCGCTTTAACATTTCTAGTTCGTAAGACAATCATTAGTTTTCAAGGCGTTTACAGGAATCTATAAATTCGGTTGCCGCACCTTCAGATAACCCGAGCTGCTTAGAATTTTTCCGACAAAGGGTGAGAAAAGCTCAATATTCATATTCCTAGGATCATTATGTCCTAAAAAGGGTGTCAGCAAGCCAGCAAATATCACCGTTAAGAAAGTACCTACCGCAACATAGAGCATAAATGTCATATGGTAGATATACTGCAAAGGCTTCTTGGGGCTGAAAAAAAAATATATATATATATTGCTTAACATCAATAAGTCCTTAAGAGTTAAAAGCACTTGCCTGTTTTCAATTGCCTTTATAGGTGTTGCGAAGTTTTCGAAAAAATATTTACAACCATAAGTGCTAACAGGTTTTTCGTCGTAATGTATCTCTCCTTCGGAAATTGCTAACTGCGCCCGGAAGCAGATCCAAGCAACAACACAGGTTGACGCAATGCCTCCTGCCAATGCACTCTGCAGATGTAAGGAGAGCGCCTATCAAATAAAAACAATTGGTTTATGACAAAAAACACTACTATTTACCTTTCCATTAATCCAAGGTATCAGGACCCCAATGAGAAAAAGGCCAAGTAAGGGGCCGCTAATTATAGATCCGAGAGTCATTGATAATTGTAGAACCGTTCCCATTCGCTCAACGACAAATACTAATGCCACACAGAGGGCTCCCATCAAAATCACAGACAACCGCATGACAAATGCAGTTTGGCGCTCACTAAGCGGAGTTTTTCCCAAAGGCTTAATGTAATCCTCGAGAATAACAGCAGCCAAAGAGTTTAGGCCAGTCGATAGTGAACTGAGCGCCGCACTGAAAACTCCTGCAACGAACAATCCTGGCATTCCAGGAAATACACCCAGGATATCCATCACCAGAAGTGGCACTAACTGATCCTTCACTTTTGCTAACTTTGTACTGAGTGGATCACAATCGTGGTAAGTAGCATAGAGTAATAATCCATTGTAAAAACAAGCGCCCATAAGTGCAATTATACCAATGGTGAACCAAAGCAAAGCTCCTTTAACTTCCTTCATTCCGGGAAGAGAGAGGTATCGCTGCATAATTACTTGATTTCCCGCCGTAACCTGAACGTAAAACAACGTAGCTCCTAGAAGGACCGACAGCATGGATACACGAACTGAAGGATCCCAAGTCATTCTACATTTTGTGTAATAATACATATGTATGTATGTGTGTTGCCGCACATGGATACCAGCTCCATTGATTATTTGACTTACTCAGGAAGTTCAAGGCGACTTCCTTTTAAGTTTCGCTCCCAAACTACAGCTAATCCTCCAACATCTATAGTGCCCTTTATGATGACCAGCACTATGGATCCCACCATTATTACCGTTTGAAGAACATCGGTCCACACTACAGCTTTTAGTCCACCCTAAATTAATTAAATTTCCAATTGAAAAAACTAAAGTATTTGTCAATTTTATTGTGGCTTATTCAAATTTTTATTTTAATATTTTTATTGAGCTTTGGTACACGATTTTGTTTATTAGGGAAAAACTGAAAAAGCAACAAAGTCTAAACGGCAGAAGTTATAGCAGCTATTTCGGAGATCACCACATCATCAGACTTCTTTTTTCTAGACTTCAGCAGGGATCGAACCCGCGTCATCGATGTGCTATGCAGACCCCGTAAGCTCCGTAAGCCTCGTAAGAGAATGAATTAGCAACAAGAGCTTACGGGGTGTGCATAGCTCAGTGGTTAGCGCTTCTGACTTTGCAAATCGATGACGCGAGTTCGATCCCGGCTGAAAGCCATAAAAAAGAAGTCTGATGAGGAGATGTGGTGATCTCCGAAATAGCTGCTATAACTTCTACCGCTTAGACTTTGTTGCTTTCTCAGTTTTTCCCTAATAAACAAAATCGTGTAACAAAGCTCAATAAAAATATTAAAATGAAAGCAACTAAATTTAACAGGCCTTTCTCTTGCTACTTACCACGCATGTGTAAAATATACAAACGATGCACACTACAGGTGTAACAATATGGATATTAATGCCGGTAACTGAAAACATACAAGTCTATGAGTACAGTATAGGTATGTAGATGAGAATTTCTCTAAAGGGATAAATTACGGGAATGCAACTCACCTTGATTGAAAGCCAATGCAGGAACATATATCACAATAGGCAACCAGAATATCTAAGATGGCATAGAATAGTAAGGAATCCTCTTTTTGGAACTTCGAGAATCACTTACCGTTCCAATACTAAAAAGCACGGAGCCAAACAAACGATTTCTTCGATCAAAGCGCATTTCCAAATACTATATGTATGTACATATGTATATCGGACGTATGTATGTACATGTATGTAATGAGCAAAATACAATTGTAGAAGAAACGTGAATAACTCCAAAATATTAAAATTTCGAAGGGCTTATCAAATTCACGGGAAAGGGAGAAAAATGCATGAGTTAAATAAGTGGAATATATCGCAATATTTTCGTATCCAGTATGGGAAGAAAATAATCAACAGTCACTGCATTGTAAATCTTATGTATATACATATTTATGTATATATATTAGAACAAAAATCTATACTTATCATCGTTGAGATAATTCCCTAACGGATACAAAAGAAAAATTACGAAATGCCCAGTCTTCAATTTGATACAATTTTTATTTAATTAAAGCACCGCTTATAATATCACTGACGGCTTATTGCGCGTTTTCGTATCAAGAAAAAAAGAAATATAATTTTGTTAAAAAAAAAACAAATTGTCTAAGTAATTGCAGTGGGATGTACTACCGTGCGACTAATAACTCAATCGATTGTTGCATTAACCTTCCGTCTGTGTATTGATTTTACTGACATAAATTGTGCCCTGGGTTAGAAATTGACCACACTAATTTCTCAATGGAAATCACAAAATATTTTCAACTTTTATACTACTCTCAATTTCTTGTAGTACCCAAATTCGAATATATGAAGAGAAGTAATGCATCGAAGTCTCTAGCACATCAGCTATTTAATTGCTTAGTATGAGGTAAAAATATGGCAGTTTTAAAGTACCTGGAAAATACGCATTCTTAGAATTTAGAAAGAAAAGTATTCAAGAAAGGCATTCTGTTTGCTTATAAATGTATGTATGTATATGTAAGTGTGTTCGTTTTAGTTTTCAGATGTAAGCGGTAGATACCCTGCAAACCATTTTTACAGAGTATTCTTAAAGAATTTTTAAAGAATTCGGAAAGATCCCATCCGATTTTTGGACGAATTTTCTAAAATTAAATAAATTACGCACACTTCCATTCTTTTACGAAATTTCGGAAGAAAATCGGTAAAGAAATGAAAATAATGCTGCTATGTGAAGAATTTCTTGCAGACTTTTTTCAGAATTTTCTTTATTTTTCGTACAGAAATTTCTTTACGAGTTCGTGTCAACCACTTCATATAATTTTCTTTGAAGATTCGGAAAAAAATCGTTACAGAAATCAGATACTCCTAAAGATTTCGTTAAGATTTCGGGAACTTTGGTTTGCAGGGTATCTATCGCGTTCTTTTGTAGTTATGAAATATGAGCAGGAAATTTTGTTATTCATACGCCATGTATCCCCTCTTTTGATCAAAATCCATAAAGCCAGTGTCACACGATTGGGAATTTCCCCAAAATTTGGTGCAACTTTTATCCCAATCGTGTGAATGCACAAATATTTTTCTTTATTCCAATCACGAANGTTATGAAATATGAGCAGGAAATTTTGTTATTCATACGCCATGTATCCCCTCTTTTGATCAAAATCCATAAAGCCAGTGTCACACGATTGGGAATTTCCCCAAAATTTGGTGCAACTTTTATCCCAATCGTGTGAATGCACAAATATTTTTCTTTATTCCAATCACGAAAAATAAATCTTGTTCCTTAAAAAAAAATTGTCGCCCCAATTTTTTTTTATTTTGCACCAATAGCCCAATATAAAAATATCCAAATCTGTACAAATGTACCAATCAAGTGACACTGCCATAAAACTATATGCGCTTTCAAAAAAAAAAAAAACAACAAATTTTCTAGCTTTCTTAATAAGATTTCCTAGAAAGAGTATGCAGTTTTGTAGCCCACTGAATTCTAGCAGAATGAAGTACAAGTTTCAAATGGCTAAAAATGATTCTTTAGAATTTTCAAAAAAGCACAAAGTTTCAAACTTGGACTTACACGGGTTTTGTTAAGGAATGACCTTTATTTTTATAAAAAAAAATAACCAAAATGAAATAACAACCAAAATAATATGCTAAACCTAAGCAAAAATTGGTTCGGCTAAAAATGTGTGACCACTATATCCATTTTTTTATATATTTTATTGGCATGCACATTGTACATAAAGGTATGTATATTTATAACAAAATGAAAAAATAAATGCCTTCTTTCATTTTTTCAAAGCTCATTTTGCCTTTTTTTAAGTTTTTAGTGCCTTAAAATCATAACCCTGGTTAAATTTTTTCAAGGAATGAAACCGAAACCCAAACCGAAACCGTAACCGTTTAAAACCGTTTCGTTTTTCAAAACCGAAACCGAAACCGTAACCGTTATCTTGACCTGAAAAGGAACGATACCGAAACCATTTCAATCACAGGTTTCAATCGGTTTCCAGAAATTTACAAAAATAATAAATACAAATTTCTTTGAAATAAATGATTTATTTAACCAAAATCAGCAACATTTTGCTAAAATTCTTGTTAAGTAGTAAATAAGTATGGCAAGGTAACTTTTCGCAAAAATCTGCTGATGACTTTGTTGTTGTGAATCGATAATCGATTAATTATATTTAAGTAGTTTCTTTCCCGTACGCAATGCGAGATCCCGCGTGTGCCCAAAATAGCCCAGAAATCATGCCTGTACTCAACAAAATGGGTAATAGAGAGCGAAAATTCGAGCGTATTCGATCGTAAGTGTATTCTTCTTCCTGCCCGAAACAGCCCGAAATTTTCTCCGAGTAAAAATGGATAAAGTGTCAAAGTGCATATCAGCTGTATTGTGTTTACATGTTGCCTGCATTTACTTGGTGCTTTTAAGGAAAAGTGAATGGCCTGTTGATGTATTTTCAATCTATGTACTTAAAATCAAATTTGTGAAACCAAAATTCAATTTCCAAGTGTTTGCATTTAATACCATGTTCTGACCGACAACCAAAACATTTTTCCTTCATTTTCTTTTCATTTACAACCTTTAACTTTCATTCTTATTTTGCTTTGGCCAGGCAATTAACAATAAATCCGAAATGGCGTATTAAAGATGATAAAATATGACTTCCACTTCGATAAATAATCGAAAAAAACTAGTGAAGACACCGATTGGAATGAGTGGAAAGTGAGTTTTCAAGTAGTTTTCAGCGAAAACTGGTTTTCGTTTAACAGATTTTATATGGACGAAAACACAAGTTTTAGGTCGAAAACCAGTTTTAGCAACAAAAACATGTTTCCGATGTCGGTCAGAACATGGTATAAGTGACAAAAACAAGAACAACGTGAATCAGCTGTTTCTCGACATGTGGGCACGAAATGTGGGTTTTTGCGTTTCCGTACTTTGTTCCATTTTGAAAGAAAATGTTTCTCTTATTCTCTAATTACCAAATCCGGTCCGGATTGTTAGGGAAACAACCTAGTGTTGATATTATCACTGAACTGTAATTTTCGATTTTCTTTCCTCAACGTTTAAGACATTGTGATTTAAATAATATCAACAAAATTTCTGTGAAAAACCGAAACCGGAACGTAACCGAAACCAAAACCGAAATAAATTTTGAAGAACGAAACCAAAACCGAAACCGAAACACTTGGCAAAACCGAAACCCAAACCGGAACGTTATTTTAAATCGGTTTCATTCCTTGAATTTTTTTAATTTTTGCGAACTTTATATAAAGTGTAAACCTTTGTGGCCTTATTCATAAAAGCACTTTAATTTGCCTGAGAGTGTACCCGTATATATCGTCGTTTAAGGTTATGCAAAACCTCGCGTCTGACATTTGTTCCAAAAATGAGATTTGGTCACCGGAAGAGAGAGCCGTTTTGAAATAAGACAGTTTTTACTCTCTTCTGTACAGTTTGGGCAACATGCCGTGCGAGGAATCGCATTATCATGATACGCGGTTTTGTTGTATTTTATTCGAATTTGTGTATGGGTATTCTTAAAAAATTTACGTAAAATTTATACGGAGCCTTTTCTTACCTCGTATGTGGAAGTTAGTTGCAGATTACAAAATACCGGCAGGAAGACGTACCACGATATGATTCCGGAAATCACCAAAGTGATGAGAATAAAAGCATATTGAGTACCATAGACGTAAATTTCGGTGGATGTGCCCAGCAGCGAAATGCCCGATACAAAGCTGAAATTAAATTATATTAGTTCAATAAGGCCCAATTTCAGATGGGCTATTTAAGTAGAGATTGTTGACTAACTTCACTCTAAGCTAGCGAAATGCAACTTGCTTTGCATACATTAAGGCTGCGTTTCACCGGATTTATTTTAGTGAAAATTACTTTAATTTTCTAATGTTTGGTTTCACCAATAAATTTTAATTTATTTTTATTTTTGATATAAATTACCTAAGCTCTTTACTTAAATACAAATTTAATCAGAACAACCACACTCAGAGATGTTACACCTTTAATCAGCTAATCAATATACACACACCACAATTTTGTGTATCAGCTGTTTACTTGTATAAAATTTAAATTAAAGTTAATAATTAAATGAGTTTGGTGAAACGCAGCTTAACACTATAATTAAACACAACTATCATGAGATTTCAGTTAGTTAGTTTCAAAACATTAACAGTTACACGTTTTATAATTAATTACCTAGCCTATGTTGCTATGGCTATCCAGCTAATTTATAATTTGTATATTGTAATATTAGCTTTAAAATAAATAAATAAAAATAATTTCTGGCATATTTAAATAAAGGTGATCTTTAACGCAACGAAAGAAATATGGCATTTAAATAAAAATCCAAAATTAAATTTAAGTGCCATTTAGAATTTCAGGTTATCAATTCGTTGGAGTATTTTTTTCTTTTTTTATGTATGCTACCGCATAACTTTGGACCACGTGAACCGATTTGAATAATTCTTTTTTTTTATAGAAAAGATAGTAATTTGGTTTAGATCCGATCATTGGCTCATAACGGTACTCTTAAATTTTTATATGAGAATTGAAGTCGGTTGTGTTTTTGGTTTAAAAATACTTGTTTAATAAAAAACAATTTTAACTCAAGATGCGCTCAACTTTCAAAAGTAATAAAAAATTTTAAAAAAGAATTTTAATACAAATAAATTAGTTAGTTCCATAACATTTTTACACTTCTATGCTAATTTTCCTCGATTTCTGGTTTCTGGTTTTCGACAGAAGTGGTGATTTTTCACGATTGCCTCATTAAAAAAATTAACTGAACTCATTTTGTTGAAACGTACTCGAAGTTGGCAAATTAAATCTTCGAACCCTTGTTAAGTGCATATCAGTGGTAAATTATTTTAGGTTGTCAAGTGTTCGTGTATTTATTTCTTCAAGAAAATTCACAGCAAAAGCAAAGTGCTTGTTCAGGCAACAGAAATAATACAAAACAATTCTTGTGATTTTTCTTGAGAGCTGGATTCTAAACTTTAAGGTACAGTTTGTATTTGAGGTTGTTAGCTTTGGTGGGGAGGTGTGAACCCCAAACCCACCCCTTGTGTGCGCTACTGACGCCAAGCAAATGAACACTGTCTGTTGTTGTATATCCTGCTGTCAATATTTGAAGTTTATCGGCCCATTGTAAAAAGTTACTGTCGCGACGTCCAGACATATAATTTCCATGGGTCCGTTGATGCGAAAGATATTCCATGCCAGTACCTAATTCAAAATAAAATTTCCAGGAATATCTTATGGAAGCTGCGAACCTAAAATGTATCAATGGCAGCAACTTATTGCACT